TCTTTCCTCCAAATATACAATAATAAAATGGAAATCAATATTCGTAACCTAACTTATCAAAAGTCCTGAAGATATTGATGCCATTTAACAGCTGTAGATGCAAATAAAAAAGCAATATCTCACACCGTTAGTACAAAACAATAACATTTTCAAGCTGCTTATGCTCCCCACCAAAGGGCTGTCAATCACGTTTGCTCTGGAGAAGGCAGCGCTGGGGGCTGTTAAGCGTGCTGGCTGCCTACGCAGGAGAGCACATTAAGAATTCCTCTATTCACTTGAACACAAAAATGAAATGAGCTTCCATGGAAGGCAGATTTGAATGAATATCTCAGTGTTGGGTATTTCTGAAATGTGCGTAGGCTTTGGTTCCTCCCTGGGCTCCATCCTCACACACAGGGGAAAAAGGATTGCAGAAAAACCTAAGTGTGGTTCACTGCAGGAGTAAATAGATCTTAGAGGGCAAAATTATGGGTCATGCATCAGTGTGAGGGGAATTAACAGTTAAAAGGCTGGTTATAACAATGGCAGTATAACAATATAAAGAAACCTAGGTAATATATATTTTAGATAGTTTACTTATTTTGACAGTATTCAGTGAAGATAAATAACAAAACTCTAAATAAATATTTACATAAAAGTAAAAATATTGTCTTATTATCTCAAAGGCAGTCCATTTTCAGAAATTTCTTCATGACACAAAGTTCAAGTATTCAGGTTTTCTTGTTTCTTGTGTTATGTAGGCACCCTGTGTCTCTGAGCAAAGGAGGGGTTTCTGAAAGTGACAGACTATTAATTACTTCCTCTGTGATTTTACTTGCATCTCCAAAGAACAAGCACAAGAACGAATTTTCTTAAGAATAAACTGCTTCATGGCTTTAGCAAAGGTATACCGAAGAGCAAAAGAAATCTTCCCTTTTGTGCTGTTTCATACAAGTCAATTTTAGCATTTTCATTTAGATCAGGACTGACCAGCTCTTCTGCTCAAGACACCTGCTGCTGTTGAGTTGCACTGCTTGCGACTGGCAACATTGCTTTGAGCATTAAGAAGCAGCTTTCTTCTAAAACCTAAAGAAGTAGATGATTGCTTACTTAGTGACTGACTTCTTTCCATGCACTGAAAAGCAGAAAAGAAATAATTTAGTAGACTGCCTTATGAGCGAAGCAGACACATTTGACTCCCCGTTCCTCAGGAAGGTGACACTAACAACTGATCCTACAGGTTGCAGAGGAGCCTCCCAGCATCCCTGTGAATGTGCAGTCTATTGTTAAGCATAACAGTTGGAATCCAAAAGTTTACTGCCTTTGAGCAATATTTATTGCATTTAAGGTATCACTTACTGTAGCTAAGATTGGTATCATTCATCACACTGTCTGATTTTCTGTATTTATTTATTATGTGAAATATATAAAAACATGTAATGTGAACCTCTGAATGCTATTTTTAAATGGCCAATATTAAGCGTTATGAGGGTGTATTTTCTTATTTGCATAAGTGAGGATATTGGAGATGAATACATTTTAAACTTGGAATTGCCAGCAAGTTAGCAGCTCTCTTTCTTTCCTTATTCTGACCTACCATTATCAAATAATATGCTGAGACTCATTTTATCTTTCTGCAACCCGTGATCATATTCTAACAAATACTCCCTAAAGAGTCTGGAGTACAAATCTCATTTTATGTGTAGTAAAAACAGTAGGGAATCTCAAATCAGCCCACTAAATAGCTTTTTTGCAACACCTTATTAAGAAAGTGAAAACTAGTATAATTGCCATTTTGCTGTTCCAAAAGCATTAAATCTGGCAGCTACTGCTTTCCAACCTTATATTGTTTCTATACGAAAGACATTTGAAGGTGAAATAAGAATAAATTTTATTAAAATGGATATTAAATTGACTAGAATGTGCTAGTCTAGGCTTCAGAGAGTGCTGTAGCACTTTTTGCCAAGAATACTCAAGATCTGATGGGAGAAAATAAATTGATTAATTAGAAGGAAATTTTTAAGACCATTAAGGAAATCTAAAGTATGATGGTACACAGTTCAGGAAGAAATGTGTACGTTTAGCAGTTCGCAGATTAATTTCACATGCAGCAACAGTGCCCTTATAAACAACTCAGTGCATTACATTATTATTCACAGGTCTGTTCTGTATTTCCTTTCCATTTTGTGTCAAGTGATCTGGTAGGGCACAGCAGTGAGAAGACCCTTGGGCCAGTCACTCTGTGTGCACTTGTTTACCTCCTATGCAAGTTTGGCAGAGATTTTCTATCCTTTGTAAGTATTTTGAGAGCCAGAGAAAAATAATAGTTGTAGCTGTGCACAGCTGTGTTGTGCAAACTCTGCTCTCATTGCAGTAGTTGAATGTTATTACAGGTATTTTTATGACTATTTTTTCATGTTGTCCAGTTTCCTTAAAACTTCCAAGAATTGTCATTTTTATGAAGGGATTTCATGGAAGAAATAAAATAATGTTACTAATCACAGAAAGGTTGGGTACAGGGGAGTCAACTTTATAAGTGCAAGCCAGCCAAAATAATAAATATTCCTGTCTTGATTCCGCATTTATTCTGATTACAGAAGGACTTGGCATTAACTAAAATGCTTAAAAGTGTAAGCACATAATGTAGGTTAGTATTTAGCAGGACATCTTCAACTGTCAAGAAGCATTTCCTTTTGACAGTTATGGTTTAGGTGTCCATTCCTCCTCATGTGAAAAATTCATGCTGGTTTCTTCTAGTGTTCTGCTTTTCTCTCTCAACCCCTGTTACTGTCATAAATCGCCCTGAACTGGGAGGAAAAGCCAGTCAAGTTTATGCGTACAGAATTTATAGCCAAACAATCAGGATTTGTCAAGACTGGACTTGAAAGTATATGTGTAAATTAGAATTGGGCTGCACTTAAAAAAGTGCAATAATTCATTCCAGTGTGCCTGCAAGAAAACAGAAGTATCATTTATGAGAACATTGTAAACATTTTAATGGTACAGTGGAGGACATTGTAATGATAAAGGAAGACCTGGGTTATTTTTGTTCAGGAATGCTGCCAAATACCATTTACGCCCTTATTTTCACACAGATTTTTTTTTTCTAGAAATTAAGGGAATAACCTTGGTAATTATTTGGAAAAAAAAAAAGAGAGATGGAAATTACTTTCCTCAAAATATTATTGGCAGGTCTGTGTCAAAGCATACATCATCCAGTGCCTGATATTATTGATTTTAGTGTTTGTTATTTTAAAAACAGATTCACAGACAAGGGTAGGTACCTTCCCTCCCTTCCACCAAGAAAATCAGTTATAGAGTAATAGACATATAGAAAATGTTTATCTGTATAGAATGCAAAGAGATGCTATTTATGTGCTTTCTGAATTCAGATATATGCTGTAGGGATGTGTGTGCATGCACACACATACACCCACAAAGATAACATGTAAAATTACTATTTTGATTTTAATTACAAACAAAACATGTTTGGCCATTTAAGGTGTAAGGAAGATGATGTTAATAAAAACTGAGATGCTCACCAATTCTCGAGAACACTCTGTGGCCTTGAGAATAAAGTCCACGCCGAATTAGTCCATAAGGCAGAAATCACTCCAAAATAATTACATCATCAAATGTACTAGGGTTGCAATCTGTGGAAAGTCCTCCAGTGTTTTTAGTAGACTTTGCATTCTTATTAGCTTCCTATTTTGTTAAATGTTTGTGGTATCCTATTATATACTTGTCAATCTGGGGCATCAATATTGGCAAACATTGGTGACCTGTTAGGAAATGTCTCTGTAACATCTGTTCTTGCATCTATGCTGTGAAGTGGAGGAGAAATACAAACTACCTTGTAGAAATTACAAAATAAGTAGGTTGAAAGAGAACTTCTGTATTCTAAAGTTGTTATTGTACTTCTTACCATTTTATATCTGAAAGAAATAACAGCCTTTTCCAAGGTTTGGATGTTTCTTTTCTTTTCTTTTCTTTTCTTTTCATGTTGGTTGTGTGGTAGCAAATGAAAAATTCATAGGACTTACAAGAAAAATATTAAGGGTCAGTAGTGCAGGGTACAGTGTATAAATAGCACACAAGGCGTAGTGCATTTCAGAATCTGCCACTTTATTTTTACACGGATGCTTTTGTTGGATTTTACAAGATGGACTGAAATTGTGACAAGCCATGTTCTGAAACAGTATTGTGATTAAAATAACAATATAATAGCAATATTATAAAACTGTATCTTAAATACAGTTTTGTTTCTAATGAACCATTTGAGTAGTTGCACCATCTCAGTTTGTGGGCTTCCTATCAAATTACTCTGTATTTATTCCAAAAGTAGAAAAAAATGAAATTGCTAAGCTTCCAGTTCTGAATTATGATGCCCAAAACACCACGGGAAAAAGAAAAAAAAAAAAGATTTACTTAAAATTTATTTAAAATAAGTATTCAGTGAATGAATACTGCTTGAGTAGATTTTTACAGTAGTCTGGGTGTGCCGTGGCAGGATTCATTTTTGGCATTTCTCACTTTAACCTGTTAATGGTGTTGCTGAAATAGTAATTGTTTTGTTTTTATTATTCTTTGTCCATGAATTTTATTTCTCCCTTTGCTTTTCTTTCCCCTGATTTAAGATTCCAGAGGCTTATTTTATTAGAGATCCTCATACTTTCCTCCTCACAAACAACTTTGTTAAGGTATACACCTACTCTTTAGCGCAAAACCCTCGCTCCGGCTACGAAGTGCATGTCCTCACAGGTTAACATTTTCACGTGTAACCCCCGTTCCCGGCAGGGAGAGCGGTTAGTTGGTTAACTGAAGCATGCTTGAAAGGAGAAGCCAAGCTTGTCTACAAAATACTAACACTTGGATGAGTCTGCAGCCTGGGAGGAGAGCACCGGGTGAATTTTCGGGACTTTTTTCATGGCTGACTTGGGCTGCGCTCGCATTGTCACACAGCGCGCTGACCTCTCTCCGTGATGCAGATTGCTCATGACAGTCGCTCTCCCTCCCCGCAGGCCATGGAGACGCAGATACACAACTTTGGACAGACGCCATCGCAGTTGCTCATTGAGCCCCATCCGCCGCGGAGCTCTGCCATGCACCTGGTGAGACATAACTGCTGCCTGGGAATTCATTTCCTCTCAACCCGAGGAGCCGGGATAGGTCATAAAATACCCATTTAAGCAACGCTTTTAATGCCCCCTCGCCCCCGGATCACTGTACTTCCTTCTCTTTGTGGAAGTAGCTTACGATGCTCCCGCAGAACAAGGTGGAAGTTGGAATAGCTTCATCTTCCTATAATCACGACTCTGCCTGACTAATAATCTATGAAATGGCACTGTTTCCTTAACCATGTACTTGGTATGTACATATTTACATTCTCATTGCTGCAAGGAATTTCTTGCAGAAATAGGAAAGGCTGCAGGCTTTTCTTACAGCAAACATGTTTTGGTTTAAAGGATGCATCGTTAGGGATAGAATTATGAACCTGGTATTTGACAGAAATGAAGTATTGTTGTTCAAATCATGCTGACATCCGTCCACCCATCCCCTGGGAGCATACGAGTATTTCTAATTTCAATTTGAACTTCAAAATTTGTCCCCAACACATTCTTTTGTGTGCTTCTTGCAAAGAATTACATTAGGCAGCCCGACTGGAAGAGACAGATCTCTGTGCCCCTCTGTGCCTTTGATTAAATGCTTAAAACCAGACTTTTTCTCTTTAGTTTTGCAAATCAACAGTAATACATGCAGTAATTGTAATTATTTTATCTGTCCACAAGGAAATTATCCTATAGCTGCACATTGTGGAAATGTGAGCTGAGCTGGAAGTGCTAGTTTGGCTATGTTTCTTTAATTAATGTTAGATGTCAAACATACATAATATTTATTTTACATTCTTAGGATATAGATAATATATTTATGCTAAAAATCTAAAGTGGTGAAGAAAATGAAGGATTATTTGTACTTCTAGAAAGAATTCTATTTCTTATACCAAAGGCTGAGAAAGATAACATTGAAAACTGTGTATATACCGTTTATGTAACAGTGTTGCCTTTGTAAAAACCTGTCACCAGTAGAATCAACACAGAGAGTTATAATTATAGACTCCCTAATAAGTGCACAGTTTACATGGAACTAAATTGATAGCTTATGTTTAGAATTGCATTTCATATTAGAAGGTCATTAAAGAAAATTAAATACCTATGAGTTATACCTCTCAACATCTATTTTGAAGTCATTATACTTTATAGTTTTTATATTTATGATATAGATTGTTTGACTTCTTTATTTAACTCGTATCTAATTTGTACGAATGTTATCTGCTCTATCATTTTACATTTGGTTATGCTATTAATTAATGCTATTTAATGACGCATGGTCATTTTGAACCCTGTAATGATAACCTAGTGGTCCCCTATCATACCCGTTCTCTGCTTATCCTCCTGTAATGATCCAATACTAGCTTCTAATTTTGCTCTCCCATGCCACGTGTTTAGACGTGCAGGTAGTGTTGTTCGCCCTGTACGTGCTCGTGCTTGCCTGCTTTTTAACCTTGTTTTCCCTCCGACCTCTTCACTAATTGTGTTATCCCTTCTGTTTTCTTCTGCTCTCTTCTCCTTTCTACTCAACAGTGTTTCCTTCCACAGAGTCCACTCATGTTTAAAGATCAGATGCAGCAGGATGTCATAATGGTGCTGAAATTTCCATCAAATTCCCCTGTCACGCACGTGGCAGCCAACACGCTCCCCCACCTCACCATTCCTGCCGTGGTAACCGTCACTTGCAGCAGACTTTTTGCAGTGAATCGATGGCACAACACAGTAGGTAGGTTCTCACAAGCTCGCTTAAATCTAATTTAAGGATCTTAACAGTGCATTATCAAGCGGAATTCAGCTAGATATGGGTTAATCTCACTCCCTCAAATGTACACGAATACATAGGAAATGTACTGTTTATTTTGGTTTGTGTCGAATAACCAAGGGTTGTGTTTTCTCAGGTGTCATTCCTAGGAACGTTCTCCCTAACAGCAGCAGCACATCACCATGGCAGCCGATCGATTTGTGGTTACATCAGAATCAGCCTTTGATATAATGTTTTTCAGGAGGGAGATGCAGTTCTTGACACAGTCTATATTAGTATGTTCCTGGCTTCAGGAGTGCACAGTAGTGTGCCAGACGGTGGGCATCACTGCCTGCTATTTGAGAGGGATTTCAGGTCTGCTTAGAAGCTTGTCATAAGCCCTCCCCTGGGTCACTGGAAAGTAAAGTGGGACCCTAAACAAGATTAAGTATCTGGACACTGAACAGAAATTTTTCTGAAGAGAAACTCACTTATTCCCTTCCGAAAGCCCGTTCCATGGGGTCATCCTAAATATCCCTTCTGGCTCTTCTGCTTGCTTCTCTCCATGCGGCGTAGGTCTGGCCAGTCTCCTCCTCTGGGCATGTAGGTGCTGCTCAGTAGCAATGGTGAAGCCACGAGCTACTGCACTGCTCACAAATGGGTTTTGCTTGGTGACATTTTCTAAGGACACTTGCAGCTGTGATGGCCCTTTTGCTGCAGCATATGGAAAGTTATCAAAAGTTTCTTGCAGGTGTGCAAAACAACACTCTTGTTAGTGAGTGTAACTAAGTACCTGATTCGGGAATTTTAGAGGGACCAGGGGAAAAAAAGAAACATCCTCCCCTCTTTACAGCATGGGAGACCCCCTCATGAAGAGAAGTGGGTCCTTCTGGAGTGGGATTTGGGAGATGTGGCTTGATCTACCTCCAGCAGAAGGGATTCCAGATTAACTCGGGATTTAACTAACTTGAATGTAGACATCTCCTCAGTAAATGGTTAAAGTCAGGTGAAGTAGATCCCACGTTTTATGTACAAGGCTGACCACAGCCTCATATTACAAGCAATGCAATCAGTAATGGGAGGAACGAATGGGAATTCCTTTATCTGCCTCCATTAGAGGCATATCAGAGTAGGTAAAGCTAATGCTTACAGCTGTAAGCATTTTAGGACGTTTTTATTTAGGACGTTTAGCATAATGTTAACGTAAGTATTAAAATTTAACATTTATTCAGAATTCTGTGTTTATAAACTGAGTTCATAGATCTTACATGGCGCTGCAGTGAACAGAGCAGGTTATCAAATTCTCTTTTGTAAATCCATTGATTGATGATACTCCATCATGGGCAACTGCACTAGAACATGTTTAGTCTGTTTCATTAAAATAAGACTCTGTAGAAAAAAAAAAAAAAAAAGGAACCCACCCCCTTTTTTTGCATAATTCATAACAGTATCCTTGATAAAGAGTCCAGTGTCAGAAATTACTCAAAGATACAAGAGGTAGAGGCCCATGATATTTTAATACTCTTTTGACCAAGGTTGGCTGATTAATACTAATCCTTAATGAGTTCCTCTGGATTTTTCAGAGGTGCAGCCCAAGTACTCTGTCCCTCTCAATAGGCCCTATTGTTCATATCTCTTCAGTTTGTTAGGAAGCTCATTTAATAAATGACTACCACGTTCTCATCAGGTCTGTGGGACTGATGGAGCACCCTAATTTCTACTTATTTCTACACTGAGAAGGAATCAAGGTCACTAGTACCACAGTAGCCTGGATTTCTTGGGTTTCTCATGGATTTTCTTTAAATATGGTGTTAATGGAGTCAAGTAGTTCAGTAGAAATCTTGTAGGTCTTTGTGATGCACATGACTGTTGGCTTTTAGTTTTCCTGATAAACCTGCATAAAACATAAGCCACACTGCAGACATGCAGAATTCACGTTGTGAATCAACCATGACCTATATTTTACACCATTTATTTAAGAAAGATGAGTACTTTCTGAGTATATAATATGGGAAACAGACAGGAAAGTGAAACTGTTCAGTTCAAATCAAAATTAATTCTGATGATGATTTTACCTTTTATATTCTACCTGACAGTGTCTTTTATTTTTCAAGAGGTTAATCCAGGACAGAGTATAAGTTTCCAAAAAGTATAGTAATACTATGTTAATAAATCACAATTCTAGCTGAAATGATATATTCATCGGCAGAAACCTGTACACAGTGTACTACAGAAACCTGACACAGAATTCTTTTACTGCTGTAGGTTGTGTGTATAGCTTTGTCTTTCTGTAAGAGTTTATATACAGAAAAGAACATTTACATAGCCAGCTCACAGCAGAATTAAATGAGTCTAATGTCAGTAAAAATCTGTCCCTGATTGGCTTGATTTTGAAAGAAGCAAGAAGCTACGGAAGGGAAACCTCTAGAGAAGACATTTGCTGTGATTCTGTGATTTTTTTAACCTGGCTGGGCTATCTATAGGTTCTATGTTCTTTTAACTCCTCTAGACATCTATTGCCATAGCAGAAAATGACGATTATTATCTTGTGCAACATGGCTTTTCTTGACAAGTACTGTGTTTTCAACAGTCATCACTGTGACTTATACAATGAGGCAGGTCCTAAGAAAAGGCAAAGCAATGCTCTGTCTGTACTTGAAAGTGAATAGCATCAAAATGCAATTTAGAAGAGCTTAAAGACTGCTCAGCATAGAGCTAAATAGGAATAGTTCTGGAAAATTTACTGCAGTCCACAATTACTAAGCTTAAAACTCTCTAGATAAATCTCAGGAAAGCTCTTGAGTTTCTGAATTTGTCACTTACAGTTTTCTCTACATAAGAAATAGATAGTTGTGAATTTAGTCCAATTATGTTTTGAATTATTAGTGGCAACAGAAATCAAAATGAACTGTCATATTTATACATTTATAGTTACATGAGCAAATAATTAACACAGAGGAAGAAGTCTTAAAAGATATAAGGAGCAAGAAGTTACATATTTTGGGGATATAACAACCCCACAGCACGGTTTTAAAGCCAAAAAATCATATAAAATTTTCAGGCAACAAGGTTACCATGTACTTTATTCTTCCTTTCATTTGTAGGCCTTCGGGGAGCCCCAGGATATTCTTTGGATCAAGCCCATCATCTTCCCATCGAAATGGATCCATTAATTGGTATGTCAAGATGAAAATGTAGTGAAATAATTGAAAAGAGCATTTTCAAGAATTATTGATAAAGCTACATTTGTATATTGTGCTTCATTTAACACAGAACATAGGAAAATGTTTATTCTTGTCAGCCCTGGAGAATTAAAAGCATTAGGGATTGATGTTGGAAGAATTACATGAGTACTATTTCTTACTAAGAAATATGTATTACTGAAGAAATAACCAATTAAGTCACACTGACAGCCCATATCTATAATTCTGTTTTCTTATCAGTTCACATTAATACAATAAAAGGTGAGACTCTGACATAGCTCACATATTTTCCTTTCTTACCAGTAGTACTGCGTCTGTCACTGCAGATTGAGATTTATCATGGCAGATTGAGATTATTTTCATCCAATTTGTGATTAGGATTCTTTTAGTAGATATTATTAAATTAATAAAAAAGATTTGTTTTTAAATTGCTAAATGATTCATTTAAAATAAAGTATGCTTGAGAAAGTAAAGTGTTTTGAGAAACAAGCATCTGCTAAAAGAGTTAATATTCTATTAAAAGAGACTGTAGGACCTGTGTTTCTAACCATCATGATTTCTCTTTAAGCGTGACTATCTGATTTGGGGTTCTTTAAGAGGTGTATTTCTGAGACAGAATTATCATAGAATCATAGAATCATAGAATGCTTAGGGTTGGAAGGGACCTCTAGAGATCATCTAGTCCAACCCCCCTGCAAACGCAGGGACACCTAAAGCACGTGGCACAGGACTGCATCCAAGCGGGTTTTGAAGATCTCCAGAGAAGGAGACTCCACAACCTCTCTGGGCAGCCTGTTCCAGTGCTCTGTCACCCTCACTGTTAAGAAACCACTGCCACCAGTGAAAAGAGACCATCACCGTCCTCTGCACTCCCTCCCTTGAGGTATTTATATACACTGATTAGATCCCCTCTCAGCCTTCTCTTCTCCAGGCTGAACAGGCCCAGCTCCCTCAGCCTCTCCTCATAGGGCAGATGTTCCAGACCCCTGATCATCCTCATAGCCCTGCGCTGGACTCTCTCCAGCAGCTCCACATCCCTCTTGTACTGTGGAGCCCAGAACTGGACACAATACTCCAGATGCGGCCTCACCAGGGCTGAGTAGAGGGGCAGGATCACCTCCCTCGACCTGCTAGAGATGCTCTTCTTAATGCAGCCCAGGATCCCATTGGCCTTCTTGGCCACGAGGGCACACTGCTGCCTCATGGTCAACTTATCATCCACCATGACACCCAGGTCTTTCCCCGCAGAGCTGCTCCCCA